GTGGGAGGCGGTCTGAAACATGTGTTCAATAGGTACTACCATTTTTAGCAAGAACATGAGGAATAAAAAATACTGAGCAGTAATAAGAATCATTGTAGCAACAAACAGCTTTACAGGAGAAAGTGGAAGGCCTTGTTGCATAATTATTATTTGTGTCTGTTGTGAGATTTAATTGACTTGACTTTAAGTTGGAATTGAGATATTAGCAGTAGATCTTGCATGTCAGCTTCTTGGCAATCTTTCTTTTATATGGATATGCTGAAGTGGGGGCATGAGCTTTGTGACAATAGCCTTTGGCTCTTTACAGTCAGTTATGGCTTCTTCATGTTTTTGGAGTGGAGTCAGGCTCATTTGTTGTGGATACTGAAAAGGAAGGCCAGCCATAAGGTCAAATCAGGTAGGTAGTCAGGGACCCAAATTGGAGAATCAGCATTATGTGGAAAAACACTTGCATATCCTCATCCTACTCTTAGGAGCATATCAGGGACTTTCCATTGACCTGTCAAAGTTCTTTTCATTTTACTAAAGCCTTTGCAACTTTTTTTATTCTGTTGCCAATATCGAAGCGTAGATGTAAGACTTTATTCATTGCTATTTAAATGGTTAATTACAAAAAGGTCATGTTGAAGAATATAATGTGAAGATATATATTAAAAATTTTTGTTTGTAATTTAATAATTTGCCATTTTTAATGTTTGGTGAGCTTTTTCCACAATAGCTTGTCCTGTGGGTTATATGAAATATCTGTGGAATGACTTATCCCCACTTGAATACAAAACTTAAAAAATTTTTTTTATTCATTTTACATATCATCCACAGATGCCCCTTTAATCCATCCACCCACTCCCCACTTTCCCCCACCCATCACCTTCTCCAACAGAATAAGTTCTCCCAAGGGGAACAGTTAAACCTGGTACATTCAGTTGAGGCAGGACCAAGCCCCTCCCTGTGTTATCAGGGGTAGGCAAGGTTTCTGACCATTGGTAATGGCATCCAGAAACCTGGCATGGGAGATCTTTCCATTTTCTGACATCTTCTTCAATTTCTTTCTTCAGGGACTTAAAGTTCTTGTCATACAGGTTCTTCACTTGCTTAGTTAGAGTTATCCCAAGGTATTTTATATTATTTGTGGCTATTGAAAAGGATAATGTTTCTCTGATTTCTTTCTCAACGCATTTACTATTTGGGTATGGGAGGGATAGTGATTTTTTATTTAATCTTGTATCTGCCACACTAATGAAGGTGTTTATCAGTTGTAGGAGTTCCTAGGTAGGATTTTTTGGGTTCACTTATGTAGACTACCATATCATCTGCAAATAGTGAAAATTTGACTTTTTCCTTTCCAATTTGTATTCCCTGGATCTTCTTTTGTTTTCTTATTGCTCTAACTAGAACTTCGAGTATTATATTGAATAGATATGGGGAGAATAGACAGTCTTGTTTTGTTCCTAATTTTAGTTTTGAGTTTTGAAATTCTCTCCATTTAATTTGGTGTTGGCTGTCACATTGCAGTAAATTGCCTTTACTATATTTACGCATGGTTCCTGATCAACCCAGGACCTTTATCATGAAGGGGTATTGGATTTTGTTGAAGGCTTTTTCAGCATTGAATGAGATGATCATGTGGGGTTTATCTTTCAGTTTGTTTATATGATGGTTTACACTGACAGATTTTCATATGTTGAACCACCCTTGTATATCTGGGATGAAGACTACTTGATTATAATGGATCATTTTTTGATGTGTTCTTGGATTTGGTTTGCCAGTATTTTATTGAGTATTTTTGCATCGGTGTTCATGAGGCAGATTGTTCTGTAATTCTCTTTGTTCCATCTTTGTGTGGTTTGGGTGTCAGGGTAACTGTAGCCTCATAAAAGGAATTTGACAATGTTCCTTCTGTTCATATTGTGTGGAACAATTTGAGAAGTATTGGTATTAGCACTTCTTTGAAATTCTGGTAGAATTCTGCACTGAAACCATCTGGCCCTGGGCTTTTTTTGGTTGGGAGATTTTTAATGACTGCTTCTATTTCCTTAGGGGTTATAGGTCTATTTAAATTGTTTATCTGGTCTTGATTTAATTTTGGTATGTGGTACCTATCCAGAAAATTGTCCATTTCTTTTAGATTTTCCAATTTTGTGGAGTACAGGTTTTTGAAGTATGACCTGATTATTCTCTGGATTTCCTTGTTGTCAGTTGTTATGTCTCCCTTTCCATTTCTAATTTTGTTAATTTAGAAATTCTTTCTTTCTTTTAGTTGGTTTTGATAAGGGCTTATCTATCTTGTTGATTTTCTCAAAAAACCAACTCTTTGTTTTATTGATTCTTTGTACTGTTCCCTTTGTTTCTATTTTATTGATTTCAGCCCTCAGTTTAATTATTTCCTGACATCTATTCTTCCTAGGTGTGTTTGCATCTTTGTCTTCTAGAGCTTTCAGGTGTGCTGTTAAGTTGTTAGTGTGAGATTTCTCTATCTTTTTAATATAGGCATATAGAGTTATGAACTTTCCTATTAGTACTGCTTTCATAGTATCCTAAGTTTGGGTACACTGTACATTTCATTCAATTCTAGGAAGTTTTTAATTTCTTTCTTCATTTCTTCCAGTGAATCAGGTGAGCATTTTCAGTTTCCAAGAGTTTATAGGCTTTCTGTAATTTGTGCTATTGTTCAGTCTAACTTTGAGGCATGGTTGTTCAATAAAATACAGGAGGTTATTCCAATTTTTGTATGTCTTGAGATTAGCTTTGTGACTGAGAATGTGGTTAATTTTACAGACATTTCCATGGAGTGCTGAGGAGAAGGTACTTCTCTTGTGTTTTTGTCAAATGTTCTGTAGATGTTTATTAAGTCCATTTGAGTCATAATATCTGTTAATTTCCTGATTTCTCTATTGCATCTCTGTCTGGCAGACCGGAACATTGGTGAGAGTGGGGAGTTGACGTCTCCCACCATTAGTGTGTGGGGTTTGATGTGTGATTTAAGCTTAAATAATATTTCTTTTACATATGTGTGTGCTCTTGTATTTGAGGCATAGATGTTCAGAATTAAGGCTTCATTTTGGTGAATTTTTCCTCTGATGTATATGTAATGTCCTTCTCAATCTCTTTTTACTAATTTACTTTGAAGCCTGTTTTGTTAGACATTAGGATAGCAACACCAGCTTGCTTCTTAAGTCTATTTGACTGGAAATACTTTTATGGCCCTTTTCTTTGAGGTAGTGTCTTTCTTTGAATTCGAAGTGTTTCCTGTATGCAGCAGAAGAATGGCTTATCTTTTTCTATTCATTCTTTTAGCCTTGTCTTTTTACAGGTGAATTGAGTCTATTGATATTAAGGAATATTAATGACCAATGATTGTTAGTTCTTGTTACTTTTTGGAGGTACTGTTGTGTGTTTCCCTTCTTTGGGGTTTGTTGGTGTTTGATTATCTATTGCCTATGTTTTCATATGTGCACCTAACTTCCTTGGCTGGATTTTTACTTCTAGTGCTTGCTGTAGGGCTGGATTTGTGGGCAGATATTTTTTAAATTTAGTTTTTTCTTGGAGTATTTTGTTTATCTATGGCAATTGAGAATTTTGCTGGTTATATAGTCTGAGTTGGTATCCATGGCCTCTTAGTGTTTGCATAACAGGACCTTCTGGCTTTCAGGAGTCTCCATTGATAAGTTAGGTGTTATTCTGATGGGTCTGCCTTTATATTTTACTTGGCTATTTTCCTTTGCAGCTCTTAATATTTATCTTTATTCTGTATGTTTAGTGGTTTGATTGTTATGTGGTGAGGTAATTTCTTTTTTGAGTCCATTCTATTTAATGCTCTGTAACCTTCTTATATCTTCATAGGGTTTTCCTTCTTTAGGTTGGAAAAGTTTTCTTATATAATTTTGTTGAATATATTTTCTGTGCCTTTGAGTTGATATTCTTCCCTTTCTTTTATTCCTATTATTCATAGATTGGTTTTTTTATGGTGTCCCAGATTTCCTAGACATTTTGTGTTATGACTTTTTTGGCTTTAGTATTTTCTTTGACTGATGGATCTATTTCCTCTCTTTTATCCTCTACATGAGAGATTCTTCCATTTCTTATATTTTATTGATTATGCTTGCATATGTAGTTCCTGTTCATTTACTCAGATTTTCTTTTTTGTTTTTTTTATTTATTAACATACAATTAATGTCACATTTCAGTACAAATAAAATACCACTATATTTCCCCTTTTTTATTTTTTTCTTCCTTGTTCCTTGCTTCTTTTTTATTTTTTTTATTTTATAATACAATTCAGTTCTACATATCAGCCACAGATTCCCTTTTTCTCGCCCCTCCTGCCATCCTCCCCTTCCCCCCAGCCCACCCTCCATTTCCACCTCCTCCAGGGCAAGATTTTCTATTTCCAGCATTCCCCTGGTGTATGTCTTCTTCATTGTTTCTATTTCAATTTTCAGGTCCTAAACTGTTTCCTTCACCTGTTTAATTGCTTTTTCTTTATTTTCTTGGCTTTCTTTAAGGGATTTATTTATTTCTTCCAATTTTTTTGTTTGTCTTTTCCTCACTTTCTTTAAGGAAAATTTTGATTTCCTCTTTAAATGCCTCAATTATCTTCTTAAAGTAATTTTAATGTCATTTTCTTCTGCTTCTTCTATTTCATGATGTTCAGCTCTTGTTGATAAAAAACCACTAGGTTCTAATGATGCCATATTGCACTTTATGATGTTGAATGTATTCTTGCACTGGTGTCTACCTATGTCTTCCTGTAATTGGTACAGTGTCTGTGTCTCAGGGAGTCACTCTTGGTCCAATTAGAGTCTGTTTCTCAAAGAGCAGCTATAGTCTCAGAGGATGGATGGGCTTGGGGGATGGATTGTGTTGATGTTTGTAGGGTCTGATGGGGGATGGCAGTAGTCAGACCTGCCTGCAGGAGTTCTGCCTGCTGGCCTGCAATGGGTTGTGCCCCTGGGCCTAAAGCCTAGAGGCTGGGGTGATTGGCTAGGAGAACAAAGACTTACTTCTTGTTATAATCAGAGCTGGAGAAGTCTCAAGGAACAGCTGTAGTCTTGGAAGATGGGTGGGTTTGGGGGCAAGATTGGGGCTTGTAGGTTACAGGGTCTGGTGAGGGATGGTGGTAGTCAGGCATGCCTGTAATCATCCTGCCTAATGACCTGCAATGGCAAATACAAAACTTTTAAAGAGATTTAGAGGTATAAGCTTTCACATTATCTGTTTTTAAGGTCCTAGGTTGTCCCAAAAATAGTAAAGCAAGGGAAAATGAGTTGAACAACATCTTTGTAGGTCTTTCCTATTCAGGCAGAGGCCATAATAACATGCGAATAAGTATCTGCAGTACATGAATATAGGATAGTTTTCAAAAAGAAGACACGTGTAACATCCATCTGCCATAAGTCACCAGGTCTAAATCCTCAAGAATTTACCCCCATACATAAATTATGAATAAGTGCAGGGCATGTTGAACAATTTCTTATAATATCTCTTTGGGAATTCCCTCTTTGGGAATATGGAATTGATACTTTAAAGTAGAAGCATTTTGGTGATTGACTTTTTCAACAGCAGAAAGGATAATCATCCTGGTATAAAGATCTATAAGTCTATTTCCTTTATGTATTGTGCCAGGCAGGGAGGAATAGGCTCTAACAAATCCAATAGAAAAGGGAAAATCCTTTGTGAATAAGATCTTGTAGATATTAAAAGAGTGGAAGTATTACGGTTTGACCAGAGGGCTAGGTAACTGTTTCAATATAAGTAACCTATTTAACAATATATTGTGAGTAAGAATACAAAATAAAAGATCTATCAACTAAATCAGAAAAAATCAATATGTCAACAACTGATGCCACCTGTTGAGCTGAGGTCTCTTGAGTCATTCATGAATAAATTTCTTGATCTCTTATTTTTACAGCCATTCCATTAGATGAATCATCTGTGAAAACCAAAACAATTGGTTTTGGCAAAAGTTTCTGAGACATCTTTGAAGGGAAAATTACTGGATGTAATTTGAAAAGTTCTTAGGAACAGAACCCAAAATTTAGAGGTACACACACACACACACACACACACACACACACACACACACACACATTATACCTCTAAAGTAATTCAGGAATAGGAACTTGGATGGCTAGGATAACATAACAGCTATTATAGGAGATATAAGAATGATATAGAAGAGTGTAAGAAGAGTACATTATTAATATTTGTCATTCCTAAAATGATTGATTTACATCAGGTTGCTGTGATGTTATCTAATTTAGAAACAAAAGAATTCATTTACTACACAAATGCTTATAAGATTATAAATCAAATATTGCAAACATTGAATAACAGCTACAATGGTTCCTAAACCAATCAGGCTTAGGCCAATTTGCAAAGAATATAAATAACCATCAAAATTACTATCATACTGCTCACAGCATGATGATTCACTTGGACTGACTCAGATATTATTGAAATTATCTTAAAACTGAAAACTTCTGCCAGCCTGAGAACAGGTTGCTATATTATTCTTGCTTAAGCTGAAATGATTGGTAGAATTGTAGGAATAATGGCATAGGGTTGATAATAAAATGTATTCTATCTCTACTTAACATGTATCCCTGGGCATGTGAGTAATTATGCTTGGGACACAATAAATTGATCAGTATCTCTTGGTATAATTATGAATGTCTGTGAAGACTGTATAAATAAATAAATTTTCTGATTGCTAGCTAGTCAGATTTGCTAAGTTTTCTCATCAGGATGCCTGATTCAGCTTTCACCTTGCCTGATTCTTATATCCTCTCTGGAATATGTTCAATGCTGGGGCTGGCCCCCGGCAACTGACATCAGAACAGGGGACCTGCAGAGATAAACCCTGTTTGTTGGGTAGGAAAGACTTTATCTAAGGGTATATACAGCTGCCTGTGCAAGAGATAGATGAGGCAAGAGAGAATTGGAAAGAATGAACTGAAAAAATTTTCAGAAGTCATGGGCCATAAGGAGTCTAAAAAAGGAAGACTCTTTCTAGACATAATGCAAGATACTTTAGAGGAAAAGGGGATTTAATTTAATGCTTCAAAGTTGATTGTTTTCTTATAATTTGTATGGCAATGTAGTCCATGGTTCCCAGATAAGGTACCTTTTATTTTTAGAAATTTGGGGTAGAAAGATGCAATCTGCACCAACAAGAGGAAGAGGTAGGTTTCTGGCCTCCCAGCTGGACAGGTGCACTCTCCAGGTTCTAAGTTCCAAGGCATATTCTGTGCTGCTTACCCACCCATTGCAGCCCCATCAGCCAATCAGCAGGGCTACCATCCCTATTGGCATCAGAGGTCACTGGAGGCACAGATACCACATGCATCAATTGGAGGAAGAAAGGCCGTGAGGCACAAGTACCATCTGCACATATTGGAGGTAAAATCAACACCTGTACCTATACAGTAGTTACCATACTCAGATGGGTAGAAAGCAGTGTAATAATGCATTCAATAACATAAAGAGCAATATGGGTCTACCAGAAGCTAGCAGTTCTAAAACAGAAAGACATAAACATCCCATAGCAGATGGAGCAGAATAAAATGACCTTAAAAATAACTTTATGGAGATGATAGAGGCCGTTAAAGAGGAAGTGAAAAATTCCCTTAAAGAAATGGGGGAACACCAAGATCCAGCTATACCACTCCTGGGCATATACCCAAGAAATGCTCAATCATACCACAAGAGCACTTGCTCAGTTTTTTTCATATCAGCATTGTTTGTAATAGCCAAAACCTGGAAACAACCTAGATGCCCTTCAACTGAAGAATGGATAAATAAATTGTGGCACATATACACAATGGAATACTTCTCATCAGAGAAAAACAATAACATCATGAGGTTTGCAGGCAAATGGATGGATCTAGAAAAAATCATCCTGAGTGAGGTAACCCAGACTCAGAAAGACAAATATGGTATGTACTCACTTATAGGAAGATGCTAGATGTGGAACAAGGATGACCAGACTGCTACTCACATCACCAGTGAGGCTACCTGGAAAACGGGACCCCAAGAAAGACACGGAGAAATGGATGAGATCTACATGAACAGCCTGGACATGAGTGGAAGCAATGAAGGGCGAGGGTTGAGGGAAAGAGAGCTGGAGATCATAGCTGGATCAAGAAAAGAGAGGGAGAACAAGGAATAGGAGACCATGGTAAATGAAGACCACATGAGAAAAGGAAGAAACAAAGAGCTAAAGAGGTCCACAGAAATCCACAAAGATACCCCCACAAAAGACTGCTGGCAATGGTTGAGAGACAGCTGGGACTGACCTACTCTGGTGATGGGATGGCCAAACACCCTAATAGTTGGGCCAGAAACCCCATCCAAAGACTGAGGAATCTGGATGCAGACATCCATGGCTAGGCCCCTGGTGGAGCACTGGGAGTCTAATTAGTGAGAAAGAGGAGGGTTTATATGAGCGAGAATTGTTGAAGCCAAGGTTGGATAAAGCACAGGGACAAATAACCAAATGAATGGAAACACATGAACTATGAACCAAAGGCTGAGGGGCCCCCAACTGGATCAGGTCCTCTGAATAGGTGAGGCAGTTGATTGGCTTGATCTGTTTGGGAGGCATCTAGGCAGTGGTGCCAGGTCCTGGGCTCGTTGCATGAGTTAGCTGTTTGAAACCTGGGACTTATGCAGGGACACTTGGCTCGGTCTGGGAGGAGAGGACTGGACCTGCTTGGAATGAGTCTATCAGGTTGATCCCAGTCTTCAGGGGGGACCTTGATCTGGAGGAGGTGGGAATGGGGGGGTGGGCTGGGGGGAAAGGGAGGGGGTAGGAATGGAGAGAACAAGGGAATCTGTGGCTATTATGTAGAACTGAATGGTATTGTAAAATAAATAAATAAATAATAATAAAAAAGAAATGGGGGAATAACTCCAGAGAGGTTAGCTAACAGGGAAAGACCCTAGGAGGGACACATGGATGACCCTGCGAAGAAGAAGTGGATGAGATCTACATGAGTGGACTGGGTGTGTGTGGAGGGGGTGTCAGAGGGTGATGAGTAGGGGGTGAGAATATAGGGAAATGGGAGGGTCAAGCTGGAACAGGAACAGAGCGGGAGGGCAGGAAGGAAGATACCATGATAGATAAGGACTCATGGGAATAGGAAGAGGCAGGGTGCTGGGGAGGCTCTCAGAAATCCATAAGGTTGACCTCACCTTAGTCTGCTGACAGTGGTCCAAAGGGTTCTTGGATTGGTCTACTCTAGTGGCGAGCCTAGCAAATAACCTAGCTGTCATCATAGAGTCTTTGTCCAGTGACTGATGGAGGCAGATCCATGGCCAGGCACCAGGCTGAGCTCTGGGAATTCAATTGATGAGAGAGAGGAGAGATACTAAGGTGAGGGACATCGAGATCATGATGGGAGGACATGCAGAGATGACCAGCCACACTAGTGGAAGCCCATGAACTGTGGACTGGTGGCTGGGGAGCCCCCATGGGACTGGAATATGCCCTTTGGATATGGAAGTCAGTTGTTTGGTTCAAACTGTTTGGGGGCACCCAGGCAGAGATCTGTCCCTGGTCTATGGGCAGGTTTCTGGAACCCAGTGCTTGTGGTATGACTCCTTCCTTGCACAGCCTTGGTGCAGTAGGAAGGGGCTTGGACCTGCCTAGGCTCAGTCTGCTGGGCTCTGCTGACTCCCCATGGGAGACCTCGATTTGGGGGATGTGGGGATGCGGGGTGGCTTGGGAAAGAGGGCTGGGGGTGGAAGGAGGGAGGATGGGGTTTGTGGATAGTATGTGGAGTAAGTAGAAAATTTCTTAATAAAGAAAAATGAAAAAAAAAAGAAGTAGGAGAAATCTCACACTAGTAACTTAACAGCACACCTGAAAACGTTAGAACAAGAAGAAGCAAAGTCACCCAGAAGGAATAGATGCCAGGAAATTGAGAGCTGAAATCAATAAAATAGAAACAAAGAGAACAATACAAAGAATCAATGAAACAAAGAGTCAGTTCCTTGAGAAAATCAACAAGATAGACAAGCCCTTATCCAAACTAACCAAAAGGTAGAGAGAGAACATCTAAATTAGCAAAATCAGAAATGAAAAGGGAGACATAACTACTGACAATGAGGAAATCCAGAGAATCATCAGGTCATACTTCAAAAACCTGTTCTCCATAAAACTGGAAAATATGAAAGAAATGGATAATTTTCTGGATAGGTACCACATACCTAAGTTAAATCAAGACCAGATAAACTATTTAAATAGACCAATAACCCCCAAGGAAATAGAAACAGTCATTAAAAGTCTCCCAACCAAAAAAAGCCCAGGACCAGATGGTTTCAGCACAGAATTCTACCAGATCTTCAAAGAAGAGATAACACCAATACTCTTTAAACTGTTCCACACAATAGAAACAGAAGGAACATTACCAATCTCCTTCTATGAGGCTATAATTACTCTGATTCCCAAGCCCCCAAAAAAAGATACAAAAAAAGAAAAATTATAGACCAATCTCCCTCATGAACATTGATGCAAAAATATTAAATAAAATATTGGCAAAAAGACTCTAAGAACACATCAAAATAATTATCCACCATGATCAAGTAGGCTTCATCCTAGGGATGCAAGGGTGATTCAACATACGAAAGTCTGTCAATGTAATATACCATTTAAACAAACTGAAAGAAAAAAACACATGATCATTTCATTGGATGCTGAAAAGGCTTTTGACAAAATCCAACACCCCTTCATGATAAAGGTCTTAGAGACATCAGGAATACAGCGAACATACCTAACTATAGTAAAGGCAATTTACAGCAAGCCAACAGCCCACATCAAAATAAATGGAGACAAATTCA